AAGATCTTCTTTCTACAGGAAAAAAAAGGAAAAAAAAATAAAAAGACAGGAAAAGGAAGAAAGTGAGAAAAAGAGAAAGAAAAGAGTCAGAGAGTGTATGTGTGTGTGTGTGTGTGTGTGTGTGTGTGTGTGATAGAGTGAAAAAAAGAGAGAAAATTCGGAGATTACAAGGTGGTGAATTATAAAGGGTGGGCCGTGTTAGGGATAGAAAAGAGGGGTTGTTGAAGAATACTGAGGGCTCTACCGAATCCCCAGTTTTTTACGTGAAAAGAAACTTAATCGGGTTGTTTACATGTCCAAAGTATTAACGTTACTTTAAATTCATTCAATTTATATCTGTATAAGTAACTAATGTATGTATGTATGTATTTACTTATGCGTGTATTTAAGTATTATTATGTATGTTGGTTGTAAATCAACATTTAATGTAGTTCGATGTTCGTGTGTTAGTGTGAATTGTATAAGATTGTACATATGTTGTATTTATATGTTGGTGTGTATATATATACTGTAGATTGTGATATGTTTAAGTTAATATTTAATTTCTCGGACGAAAACGCGAGTTGATTAGCTCGTGATTACATTATTCAATATGTAAGCCAATAAAGCCGCGAGCCGTTTGACGATGGGAGATCGAATTAGAACGTTTAACCCCGTATCGTGATGTTATATATTATGATATAGGGTGATCTTATTAAATAACATAAATACTATTATTTACACGTGAAATAATATAAGTGAAAATAATCTGTTAAAACTTCGAAATATTTTTAATACTTATTTTTAATAACATTTATTATGATTAATGGCTTGATATTATAAAGAAATTATCAAAGGTGGTTAACAATTAATAATTTTTTTATAAATTATAGTGTGATAATTATTAATTATTAAATTGACACTATAAAGGAAAAAAAAATTTATCAAAGGTGATTAACAATTAATAAGTTTTTTATTCATTATAGTGTTAGAAAATTTCTTTAAGAAATATATTGTATTAATTAAAAATATTACTTATGTGAAAGATGATTAAGATTTAATAATTTTTAGCTTAATTATAATTTTAAATTAATTAAAAAAATATTATTTATACATTTTTTCAATAGTGATTTTTACAGATTAAAAAATTTTTTAATGTCACAAAAGTTCTCTGAAATGATAAACAATTCAAAATATTTATAAAATGTGTTTACCAATTATAATAATGTTATATTAAATATAAAAATATATTAATTTAAACATTCTTATGTTCTTTAATTATTCAGGAGAGCTTAGAAAACATTTTGAATACTTAATTAATATTTATAATTTTAAGTGTTACATTAAAAATATTTTTAATCAGTATTACAGTGCTTATCTTGTAAAATCTTTTATTACTTTTTCCAACTCGCAATTAAAATCTATTCTGTAATCTGGTAATGTTTAATGAAGGCGATCAAAAGGTAGCTCTTGAGTTCATGGTTAAATCGATTCGTAGTAAAAAAAAAAAAGAAGATTCGTTTGAAAGAGAAATGTAGATAATAAAAGATCGTCTCAAGTGTAGTCGACTTTAAATGAGTAAATAATTAAGGTTCATCAAAAGTACCTGATAAATAATAATTTAAAAAAAAATACGAAAAATGTACTAACATCGTTTTTGTTAATTAACTTTTGTGACTTCCTATTATTTAAAAAATACTAGAAAATACTTATTATGAATATATTTAATTGAATATTTAATTTTATACTTAAGTAATTATTTAATATATTAATATAATTAATAATTAATATATATATATTATTTATCTATATATTATTTATACTATTATTAATATTATATATTATTTAACTATTATTTATATATTATTTAACTATTATTAATATTAAATTATTTATTATTTTATTATTATTATTTTATTTATTTTCAATTCTAAATCCAAACAGTTTTCAATCTATTAAATTAATTTATTCATTTATTTTAATATTTAATTAATACTATCTACACAAAAATATATTCTTTATTAATAATTAAATCAATTCAATTAAAAACAAAAATACAGATTATCCGATTTGTTAGAAAGAGAGATAACAAAGACAATGAAAGATCGTTTGACAAGAATTCGACTTTAAATAAGTAAGTAAGTATGCAAGTATGTAAGTATGTAAGTAAGTAAGTAAGTAAGTAAGTACGAAGTTCATGAAGTCTAACTTTCAACAGAGGGTAGGTAACGCTTGGAAACGATTAAAGGTTTGAGCTTTTTCGATCGTCCGCACGAAGACTACTCTTCGAAGCGCTAATGCGGAAGTTCCACCCAAACCCACCCCATTTCCACCCTTCCCTTCTACCCAATCTACCTTTCTCTTCCATCCAATTTTTCCTCTCTTTCTTTTTCTTTTATACAAAAGCGGTGGCTGACTGTACGACTCTCGAAACGAAGAGTCCTTGTAAAACCGTCTTGATTTTCTCTTTTCACGAAAAGAAAGAGAGAAAGAGAAAGAGTATTAACTCTCCTCCCCACTCTTTTCTTCATTTTCTCTCTCATTCTATCTCTTCACCCTTGTCAGACTAGGTGCTAGGGTGGAGTTAGAATTCACAGGGAATGTCGGGGAAACATTTTACAGAATTCCGCGTCGCGATGCAAACGTTTATCGAAGCGGTTCATTATGCGAACTATGCGACAAAGTTTCCTGGACAGTTCTAAGAGAGACAGGTGGTGGTGGGTGGTTAGGGGTGGACAAAAATCTATGTATATGTATCCTTAAACTCGTAAAAGTGGTGTTTAAGAACTTTCCCCAAAGAGATGGGAGGGAATGAATGGGGGTAAAGATATTCGATGACGTCATGAAATCGTTTATGTTCAATCAAAAGTTACTAACTATTACACTATTGTTTAAATTACTATAATTGTATTAAATTATTTTTTAAATTGTTGAAAAACCGTTTTGCTAGCTATTACTTTATAAGTAATACTGTATTAGTATTTAAGTAATTTTTTAAGTAAATTACTTAAATTATTTATTTTTTATATATTATATTTTATATATTTATATTTTAATATATTATAAATTATTTATTAATTATTAAGTAAAAAATTTAGTAAAGTTAATTACTTTATAAGTACTTATAAGTATAAACTATTACTTTATAAAAAAAATAAAGTTAAATATAATTTATCAGAATAAATTTGTAGATAACTTTTTGTTACAAGTAAAAAAAAAAAAAAACAAATTGAAACATTGAAATCATTTGTACGTTGATTTATTGAAACAATTTTGATAATATAATGCAGAAATTTCAAGTGGTTGTAATAAATCTTAACGTCAACGGTTAAGTCTTGCATACTTGGAGTGCAAAAGGTTTTAAATTGTTGTTTGATAACATTGTAAGATGTTTTACGTTTTTTTTTTTTTTATAGAAAGGAAAAGAAATAGAGTTGAGAGTAGTACTTGCCTTGCCATTTCTGAGTGGAATCGACCCGTAAAGTTCCCTCACTCTGAATCTGATCTTTACCGTTGGTCACGCGACACGAGTAAAATCCAACGTCGGAGACGTCGAGGTTCGTGATCTTTAAACGACTACCGGCTACGTTTTTAGCTGCGTGTTCGTGTGCCTGTAATATAGAAAGAGAACAAAAAAAATCAAAATGAATGATCGATTATACGTTTTATTCATCCAATCTTATTTAATACTATTAGGACCATTAAGCATGGAACGTCAGATTTTATACTGAAAGTAATCGGAGTAATCATACGTTTTATACTTAATTATCTAATCAAATTAATTATCTAGTAATTTAATTGTACGAATATGATTAATACCTGTGCATGAATCTTCCTGATAGTAATTTTCGGCCGTTTTTCTTCCAATGGTGCTTCATTTTTGTACCAACGAATTTTGGTTGGTGGTGGATCACCGACAGCCTCGCAACGCATATGAGCTACCCCACCTTCGTCCTTCGATATATTTGAGAGGGTTCTGACAAATTTCAGAGTTCCACTTTTGCTGCCAGCTGTCGCGCCAACATCGGTGCTGCAAATTAAAAGAAACGATCGAAATTGAAATAAATGTAGAAAAAAAAAGTAGAAGAAGAAGACAATGATGATGAAGAAGATGAAAATGAAGATGAAAAAGAAAAGAAGAAGAGTACGTTCGCTTTATTTCTCGAATAAACGCTTATAAATCAATTTACGAGCGTTCTTTAGTCGACCCTCGAGTACGATCCGATCCACCCTCTTTCTCTTTCTTTCTCTCTCACATTCTCTCTTTTCTCTTTTAACCTTTTAACCTTGCCCCTTCCTTTCCCTTTAGGCTAGCCCCACATCCCCTTGACTCTGCTTAGCCTTACTGTGTGTCGCGAACGTAGGAGAAAACGAAGCCCAATCAAAAAGTGCTTTGTCAAAGGCAGCATAGTAAAAGCTCCTCCTTCCACGATTTGCATCGGGAGAAGTTTCATGGAAGTCTCAATCAAATGCAGCTTCCGGTTTCTCTATTCGAGTGGGAACAATCTCGAGTTCGTCTACTTTGTACCGATATATAAATTCAAAAATAAAAGAGAATGAGAGGTAAATGAAAGAGAAAGTGAAAATAATGGAAAAGAAATACAGAAAGAGAGTTTAAGAGAGAAAGAGAATTTCAATTTGAATTTGAATTTATTAAGAAATTTTATAAAAGGGTTAATTAGCTTTACTGTAATGAAATCTGGTCTCATTAAAGATTTGCTTATTTATCAAATAACGAATAATGTAATATAAAAGGATATATTATTTCGGTGAGCGCGCGAAACATTTGAACATAACTTAATCGTTTGTTCCTAATCGCTAATCTGCAAAAGTACTTTACCGATTGTCTTGAAATTCTGACACAACGTTGCATTCGCATAGAGCTAGGTTTTTATTACATTAATTTATTTAAAAATTAATCAATTAATTTAAAAAAATTAGAAAAAGATACAGGTAAGTCCAGCGCCATCTGTTGGCCATAAATTTCGGTGAGTGCGTGATACATTTGAGCATAACCTAATCTTTATCATGAGCCACAGTAACGTGTAGCGGGGCACAGTTAGTATAAAATAAAAATAAAACGTTGTAAAATGTTTAGAATATTTTAAATAACTAGAATTTGAATTATGTTATGTTACTATGTTATAATTATGTTTTATTGAAAACGAAACTAGGTCTCATTGGAGACTAGCTTATTTAATAAATAATACACAGTATAATATAGAATAAAATAATATAAAATATATAACACAAAATAATATAAAACTACCTAAGATAAAATAAGACAAATATAATATAAAATAATAATATAAAATAAAACATATATAGTAATAGAAGTATAAAACCTAAATAGTATTAGTTAGTATTATTAGTTAAAATTGCGGAATTATAATTGTATTTTTTTTATAATAACACTATAACTTAACATTCATATCTTCAAATGTATAAACAAATAATTATTATTCTATCGATAAGTAAATAATTATTTTATATTTTTCTTTCATTAATTAAGAAAATTGTAATATACACCCTGTATATTGTTAAAATAAATTTTAATCATAATTCGTATTCTTAATTCTACAATTAAATTTTGTTTCTTTCAAAAATTTATAATAATAATAATTCCGTACAAAAATTAGATTTTAACACATTTATAAATCTATAAAAATAACTATTTAAATATTGTTTCATTATACAGAAATAAAAATTAATTGAGTTCCGTATTAATAGAATATAATTGTACATTTCTTCTTATAGAAGAATTATATACCTTCAAATTACTTTCGCAGAAAGCAGAAACCAATCGTCGAGTTTGCCTTATCGGTTTCTCTGACCCTTTAACTATATTATGTATGTACATACTTTACCAACACATATGTGTATGCTCACGCAAACACAGAGTTACACATACAGTTATATACTAATACATATAGACGAGCTTATGGTATTGCTTGGTAGACGTATTCACGGCAGGACGTGATTGCACGTAGTCACTGAGAGTAACTAGCCCTACGTTTACTAGCTGGTTATTGAATATAAATCAAGCTATGATCAGTAAGTCATCGCTGCTATAGTACAGACTAGTCAAGAAGTTTCTATTTCTATGTTAATATTGTTTCTATTAAAACTGTCAATAAATATTTACAATTAAATTTACTTTCAAGCTCAATCTGGTATTTTCTAATCATTTTTATTGAGTTTTTTCATAACGATTGTAAAATTAATTTAGGGCTTATTTTTTTCTAAATGAAATATACATTTATGGGTTAAAATTTGCAAGAAATATTTGAAAATTAAGTAAAATAATTCTTGCGTTAATATTTTAGTTATTTATAAGATAATTGTTTTAGTTTTTGTTTTTAGCAATTATATTATTATAGCAACTAAGTATAGAATGTTGCAAAAAGGTTTTATAAATATACTTAAATATACTTTATAAATAATTAAATTAATTGAAATAATTAAAAAGGATAATGTTTTGTTTGCGACATTCAGTATTATTAATTTTGATTAACATATTATATACATTTATATTAAAAAATATTATGTGCAAATATGCATTAAATAATTTTTTATTATTAAAAAAAATATATTATACTATTAATAATTGACCTATCGCTAAAAAACAATAACAACCGTATTGTAAATAATAATAACCATAATATAATAATATATAGTTAATAATAACTAACATTTTATAGTATATTGTAGAGTTAGAATATTTTTGATATTCACTGTACATAAAACAACGATAGAAATAGTGTTAATGTTAGTATATTAAGTATAATGTTTTATAATATTAAAAAAAAAAAAGTAAAATTGTATTCAAGCATGCAAGTTGAAATTTTTGTTACTATTCTTTCATAGTTAATAGAAAACGTAAGTTAACTCACGCATAAATGCATAAAGTTTTTTTTTACGATCGATAACATAACTTTAACACTCTAATAATATATTGTTATATGTACTAAACTATAGAAATGAAAATTTTCAAATAGAAAATAATAGGATAGACAAAGTTCTTTTTTTTTTATTTTATGTTTTGTATTTTGTTTTTTTTTCATAGTGATCGAGAATGCGTCAAAAGATGATATTCAACGAGCAAGACGATATGCATAACACGATGTTTTGCATAGGACTATACTTATATATGGGGAAAACGAGCGAATAAGTGGCTATCCGTCCTACCATGGGACCTAAAAGATGATAGGTGAAAGAAGGCTTATGTATATCTCCATCATCATTTTTCTTTTGTTGCCTTAAGGCTTCTAGTCAATTTTCAAGTAAATTTCTATCATCAAACGATCAGTCAAAAAAACAATAAAAAATAAAAAATAAAAAAGAAAATCATCTTACTCGAACGATTGAGAAATAATGAATGTTCAGAAAATAGAAAGAAACGTTTTATAATTTTATTCTTATATTGTTTCTATCTCATTATATCGGGTGCTCATAAATTATAAACAACATTTTAGTATTCATTATAGAATTTTGTTTTATTCGTTTTCAACAGTTCGTAATAAATTATTTCTTAATTAAACTTACGTTTTTGACGGTATTTTTAGGTTACTTTCATTTTAGATTGCAACTGTCTGTTGTATTTTAGTAACAAAATGGCGTCAGTTTTAAAGGTAGGTACAATGTATATTTGTTTATTGTGGTACGTAGAATCAAAATCAATTGTCAGTGTCAAATAATTTCAATGAAATGTTCTGTTCGGTAGATGGAACGTTTCCAAATTTCAATTTAAATATTGGAAATGCATTGAATGACAAATGCAGTGACCACTGGATTGATAGGAAATGGAAAGCGGGGAATTACTACCAATCGTCTTTTAGGAATTCCGATTTAATATCATTTGATTTTCTTTTTTGTTGGGGGGTTTATATAGAAAATATAAAATACTGAAAAAAATAAACATTAAATTTTACCATGAAAAATTGTATATAATCGATACTGTTAATGTAAACCAAGAAATTGTATTGAACACACGTTTAGTGAAATGAAACGTCGTGTGTCGCGTAATCAATTCAGAACTTGAATTTTCTTTAACAAAGATTTAAATTGATATAACAATAAAATTGAAAAAAACAATTTTATAATCGTCATGGAACAATGATAATAATCTAGTAAATAATTTTGATTATATATAAGAGGGATCGGAAAGTAATGTTGTTTCTACAAATGTGTCCAATTTTTTATATTTTTATCAAAAACCGATTGATTTTGATCAATTTGGTATTAAAAATTTTGCATACTAGATGGAACAAAATTGTTGATAATAAGGGGTGATAATTATATTAATGATTAAAAATAAAAACTTATTAGAACAAAATTTATTCGTTTGAATTTGAAGTTAGAAAGCGACATTACTTTCTGGTCCACCTAATATAATTGCTGTTTAATTTAATTTGAATTTATAAATGCATTAATAATGATCGTCGAACAAAAGAACAGTAAGCGTGAATCATAGAAAGGCAAGGAATAAAAACAAAAAAGGTTGAAAGGATTCTCGTTCCTGGTTAGAGTTCCCAGTATATTTTCTCAGTAAAAAGAACATTAGTCAGAAGACAGTCTCAGACGAGGATTAGTCGTCCGCAAGGTTTCTATAAATAATGCAACGCCTTACCTCGCCCAACAACGCAAGTTTTGTTTTCTTGATGTCACTAGCAAGCCGAAGAACGAAGAGGTTTTAAGCGGCACAATTTGTACCGCTTTTAGGTATTCTTCTTTCTTCGCCTTGCTTTTGAGTAAATACGAAACGACGTTGACGATAATGACAATCTCAGATATTCGTAAGAGAAATAAGTTTAAGAAAGTTTCATTAGAATTTGAGATTACCGAATATAAACGTAGCCCCCATCATGTGGAAATATAAATTAGATCATTAAATATTAAATGTCTGATTATTCGAATTATTTTCATTTTAAAACCTAATATTTCATACTTAACAGTATGAAAGAGTATGACATAGACAATTTTTGGCATATGGTCGACGATTGGTGCCTACACCCTAAATATTAGGTCTATCGGAAAATTCTGTCTGTTCAAACAAACATTAGTTCAATTTTTCGTCACTAGGGGTAAGGCCCCATTTCTTAAAATGTAATATACAAATTGCCACCATGTTGGTAAGAGTTCAAAAGTAATTAAATTAATGAATTGTTCAAATTATGAATAATTTATTACAAAATTTTATTTTATTTTCAAAATGGACAGAATTTTCCGGTAGACCTAATATTAAATTAGTTATTGAAATGGTATTGAATTAATTTCTACAAATAACAAAATAATAAAGACATAACATAAACGTATAGGATTGGTATTGCAAATATCTTTGACTCGAAATCTCTTTGATGTTTCTAATCGTTGTAATCGATGCTTCCTTAACACCGCATATAAACGTATACTTTCTCTTTGGAAAGCCTACAAGGAGCTGCTACGTAGGGCATCAATATTAATGGAGGTACGGCGCGTTTAGGGCGGAATAATGTATAGTGATCGCGCTAGAAGTCGACTTTGAGATCGTGCATGCACGTACGTTATACACCATAGGTGCCCATGCATATGCAGAATGGTAAGCTCTATGTTCATATATCCATATATCTCTCATTCTCTCTCTCTCTCTCTCTCTCTTACTCACTCTCACTTTCTGTCTCTCTATATTTCTCTCTTTCACTCTCTTCTCCTTTAATAGTCGCGTGATATCGATATGTCGCTGTTAAACTAAAATATGTCAAGACGTTTGGTTACGACATGCACTTTCAATACTCTTAAGTACTCCTATTGCATAGATTATGCGAACCTATTCGTATTTTTTTTATACTTATCTCTTGATTGCTTTAATGCTTCTTGCTTTTATTATTATATACTTCGGATTTTTAATAAAAGAAACGATTAGATTACGAACTGTTAATATTGATTTATTATACGTTTGTGTATACAATGAATTACAAAAATATTTAGATATAATAATAGAAATGTATTTATGGTTTTATTTTTAAGATATTTATTCTGCAATCATTTTAGTTATTGTTTTTAGCAATAGTTCCCCAAAATATTCGAATATCATGGTAGGAGCAATTTATGACTTTGTTCTTTGGTTTTTTATTTTAGGAATCAATCTGGTTATTAGTTTTAGGAATAACTAATAAAAATATTCTGATATAATAATAATACGAGAATAAATTTATAACTTAAATTATTGTTTAATTATTACAATTTCATATTTGAAAAATACTATTAATATTTCTTAGCCTAATAATTTTGTTTCAGAACACGTTTTAATTTGTTTGTCATATTATTTATAATTTTTGAAAATTATTCTAACCTGATGTTTGCTCATTCATTTTCTAATCGAATACTTCTACCTAATTTATCCCATAAATTTTTAATGATATTTAAGTTTCGTTAATTGTGGTTGTAGATGAAGAATTTTAGTGAGTTTGAAATATTTTATGATATTAAATAGGATTTTATTAAATTCAAAATAAATAAATGAATGAGTGAATTGAATGGAAATTAATAAATGAATTATTGAATTAAATTATGAAATAATTAATTGATTAATTGAATTAATGAATGAATGACCTAAATAAATTGTTGGAAAGAAAAAACTGGTAGGAATAGTACTCGTAGTAGTTACTAGTATAGTAGAGTACTAGTATACGTTAACTGATGGTGGGGATGATAATCCCATGGGTGAACGTTACGGCACGTGCCAGACTATGAAACATATGGTGACAAAAAATGTGTCTCGTCAGGTATCTTTTCTTCTTATTTCATGGTTAATTTAAAGCAGTCAAAATAAAAGTTAAAGGTAGATCAGTTCTGATTGCTATTTTGATTTTGTTTTTCAATGGAATTATTCGGTTGTAACATATACGAAATAAGTCATGTGTATGCACATGCATGATTTTTATTTGCGAAAAATATGATTGCAAATAAATAGTTCACTTGGCACTAATCTTCTTTTTCCTCTAACATTTATTTTTAACTTCAACCAAACAAAAGATTTGCAAGACTTGAAAAAGTTGCATGAATCATTTGATTAAAATGAATACAAGTATATGATATGTCTCAAAGTAATTATTTTTTTATTCAAAAATTTGCACGGAATAAATTTAAGTACAAAAAATGTTTAGAAAATATTGCATTAATTAATTAATTATTAAAAAATACAGATGTTCTTAAAATACATTTAAAATTAACCCTATATTGTTCATTGACGACCATACACTGGTAGTATGATAAAAAATTATTGTTGAATATAATAACAATTAATTTAGTTAACAATTTGTCAATTTGTAATATTTAAAGAGGATAAAAATAAATAAATACATATTTACTAGTGATGATAATGAAATAAAACAATTTTTAATGATTAAGTCATACCGAAGAAGATTAATGAAAACCACAAACAAATGGTATTACTTTTATCTAAAATCTGTAATGCTACAACTGAGTAAATCTTAAGATTATAAAAAAAATGTTGAGATTCTTAATAAGAAGTAGATCAAAGTGAACGAAACAGAGGTGAACACAGAGGACCGGGATTGTCGTTCGTAGTTGAAAAGAAAGAGCTGATTCCGTGTTAAAAAAAAAAAAAAGGAAGAGAAGAAAGGAAAAGAAATGCAATTTGTACGTCCGGTATATAAGGGGATGGAAATGGAATTCGCAGTGCGGAATTGTAGATTGGCCCTATCGCCGGCACCTCTGTAAATTAACTCATCCGGCATCCGCGGGGATAGGGAAAATTCAAATTTAATCATGCGGCCGGGCCGCCGCAAACGCGACGAGTAACAGTGCCTCCGAGACACTGTACACACAGGAAGTGGCATTATTAACTTTCGAATCGAACCAATCAAGTCGCTTCCTTATTAAGCCCCGCGGCGTACTACCAACTCGGTTTCCTAGTACACAGAGAGATAGAAACAGAGACAGAGAAAGAGACAGGGGGTAAGGAGAGGAAGAAAAGGTAGGAGGAGGACGTTTTCCATTCTAACCACCTCTTCTTCCACCCCTTCACCCCCAAGCCAACCCTCTGTCCCTTCCTCTTACCATTATTCTATCCAACTCTGTCACTTTTCATCCCTTTATATCTCTTTAGTCCTTCCTACGCCCCTTTTACAATTAGACAGTACCCTTCACATCGTCAACTTGACATTTCTTGTACATTTAGACGATAGTTTTTTAATATTTTAAAATATAAGGAAAAATATTGATGAGATTATATACTGGGTGTTATTCAAATTATTTCTACTTATTTGTATACTTTATGTAATTAATAAAATATTTAATTATTAGGTGTATTAATTAATTCGGTTTTTTTAAATTAATTATAATAAAGTAATCATACATTTATTATTTTTTCAAATAATTTCCAGTATTATCGATTACTCTTACGTGATTATTTGCATTCAAACCAAAGTTTAAATTAATTTAATATTAAAAATATAAAAAATTTAAAATTAATTAATTTAATATTATAGTGGACGTCTATATATAAGGATATGTAATTGATAAATGTGTCTAATAAATTATTATATACATATATATGGCATTCGGAAGACTTTAATTTAAAAACACTTTGCTTTAACAATATAAATATATCTAGCCCCCAAATTAATTTTTGCACCTAATATACCTAATCCAAATAATACAATTATAATATCTTACTTTTATTAAATATTAAAATAAATAAATAATATAAAATACATTACCCGTTAGTCGTAGAATCGTATACATCATTGTAATCTTCTTCAGTATTATAATCCTGTACATCCGAGTCCAAATCTTCAACCTCGCTGTTACCACCTGGAAACAAAAATGCAAAATAAAAGAATTAATAAATAAATATCAAATTAACAGAGATAACATGAATACTTAAATATTCATTAATTACAAAATTCACTGTTGTGATCGTAGGTAGACAAAATATTTATTCAATATTAACGATACGATCGTAGCTTGGTAAATTTGATTGATTTCTAATGCGACAATGAATATCGTTGCTTATACCCACGCAACCACAACCGGGCTTGAATTCAATGAGACCTTGAAAATAAAAATGATGATAGAAAAAGAAAAAATAGAGAAACAAAGAGAAAGATAGTCACAGAGAGAGAGAGAGAGAGAGAGAGAGAGAGAGAGAGAGGGAGGGCTAGAGGGGGATGGGAGTTATGGAGAGAAGATTTCATTCTCACTGAATTTATCATTCTTTCCGATCCTTTCACGCCCACGCTCGTTCATCACTAACGCGAAGATACAACGCCATTGTTTCGCATTGCTTTTCTGTCCTTCTCTTTTCCTTTTATCTTTCTCTTTTTCTGTCTTTTAGAATATTTTTATTTTTTTTAATGGGATCCATAAACGTGAACAAACTGATTCGAACTACGATAATACTTGGTCGTTCCTTTCGATTATCCCTTTCATCCTACGAACAAGAGAAGATTAGCCTCGAGAATTGGCTTGTCGTCTCGTTATACTTCTATAATAAATCATTCTCTTTACACTTGACGTTTCTCATCCTCTATAAAGATATTAAATAACAATGATAATAATTATCCGGGAGATAGACGTGGAAACTTTTTTTTAAGTATTCAAGTACTAATGTAAATTTAGTTAGGCCAATGAAAATGGAAAGAGAAAGAGAGAGAGAGAGTAAAAAGATCATTTATTTTATTAGAGATGACAGGAAATCTTTACCTTATTCTTTGTTCTTTTTTTTCATTAAAAACGTTCCAAATAATTCAAATAAATAATTTTTACGTGCTTAGAATAACAATTGATATGAGTGTCATTAAACTCAGACAATTCTACACTTTCTACCTTTTTTTACCCCACGTGACCTTTAACCTTAGGAAGGAATGCGCTTAATTTTCCCTGATAATAGTCCTGACAACCCGGTTCTATCCCATTCTATCCCAGGTCTACAAATTATCAAGAACAATATCCCTTACAATTAGTTTTAGGACAAATAACCCTATGAGATCACTTTCTTGCATAGTCAATTCCATAAACTGTATAAAATCAAACTATTTGCGACTGGATGTTGATAAATAATTACCTGACGACGTAACAATATTCATATTAAATAAATAATTCTAAGTGTCAATAAAATAATCATTAAATGAACATCTTTTGTCTGTGAATATTGTTGGTTGAATCAAAGTTGGTTGATCGATATAAAATAAAATAAAAATAAAATGAAAAGTAAAAGGGTTGAAAAAAGGGCATGGCGTTGAATTTAATTGGCACTTTGTAGGAAAATTGGCTGACGCGTAAAAATAAGGGGAGAGAAAGATAGATAGATAGAGAAAGAGAGAGAGAGAGAGTAAAAAGGCAACGTGATCTTTCACACCATTGTGTTTAATAAGTTGGCCTCGTGCCTAAGCACGGACCACCATGATCGTTTGAATCTACACCCCCGTTTATACATATACTATGTATATATATATAATACTTGAGTATTACATATTATATGATGAGAATGTGGTCTTGACATCGGCAAACCAACTCGATATTAAACTTTTCAGGGTGAATTACTCATTACCACGGCAACCATGTAACAGTTCAGCAGTTCTCTCTCTATTACGATTTAACGTTCCCCAATGTGTAAATACGGTCACGTAATTACACGAGGAAACGGAGTCAAAGCTTGTTCTCCTGGGATTCTCACGCGCTCTTACAGGTCAAAAACATATCCCTCTGCCATGCTGATTCATCCTAATCGTCTTAATTATGATTCATTAATAATAGGACTATTATTAACAATTCTTTTTGTATTTCAAATATACCGTAAGATTATTGAAAGTTACAAAAAATTGATAAACATTAATTATAGTCATAGTTAGGTAACGTAAGAAAATTATTTAAATAATTAAATATAATATATATATTTAAAATAATTTATATATAATTTATATATATTTATATATATAAATAATCATAATATATAATATATATTATAATATAATATTATATTATATTATAATAAATTAAATATTATAATAATATAAATATTAAAATATAAATATATAAATATTATATATATTGTATAATTTAATATTTTTGGTACTATTATTAGATAGTGTTTCTATATATATTATAGAATATTTTATATTTANTATATATATATATATATATATATTAGAATATTTTATATACGTAGATATTATAGAATATATATATATTTTTACATGAAACGTTTGAGGAACAGCTGAATACGAACTTGGCAATGCTGTGTGATAATTATACTTCGTTCAAGCCAAACGAGTCGCATCATTTATGCGAACTCCTCTTCCCGTCTGTTTCTCGTTAAGAGAACCAAAACCTATTATCTTTTTTTTACTTTTTTTTTCCTCTCCCCCTAACAAAAATAAGTAACAAATATTTCATGTATACGAAAAAAGAAAAATATCAGGAATTCCCATCTCAAACGATAAATCTTTACGTAGGTTGTGTCCACGTGTGTGTATGTACTATTCGTTGAATTTTTTTTTCATTTTTTTTTTACCTCAAAAATATATCATATTTCGTTAGATATTTCATTCATTCGTGTCATGTACGTGTCAAGTAAAAACCGGACGGTGATACCCCATGATGATAGGAGTATAAATAATAATAAACGATTTTCAAAATAATTTAATCACGTATCTCTGATCAATGTAATATGACGTAGAGACATTTGTTTTCATTTATTTACTGTTTAATTTATTCTTACAATTTGTATTTCAAAATAATTATTTATCATATTTCTAATCATATGAGATAAAGTATTGTATAATTTAATATTTTTTGTACTATTATTAGATAGTGTTTCTATATATATTATAAGTAAATATAATATCTAGATATATAATATTCCAATATCTATATATATATATATTCGCATATAATATCTTGCGAGTTTATATATCTAAATATAAACGAATATAATATATAATTACAATTGTATTTATATTAAATAATAATAATATAAAAATATATATATTCATATCATGTAAAAGAATATTTAAAATATTCTATATAAGATTATTTATAATAAAATTATATTACATTTATACATTATATATAAATAAGTTTTATTACAATAGAAGTAGCAATAGAATAATAGATTACATGATCAAACTAGGTTAATACCATATATATACTCTCTTCAATATTATAAATATTATATATGTATACCTATAAAGAATTATATAAACAATTGCATATAACTGCATAAGCTATATAATATTTATTATACCTATAATTTGAACCGAATCATTTACATTTACCCTATTAAAGTTATATAAATGTACAAAAATAAGAATTCAAATAAAATATTATTATGCTTATGAACAATAATAAATAAATTATTGTTAAAAATTATTTATTAGTACGAATTTTTGACAAATAATTGAAGAAATTATTCGTAGTATAGTGTCCAAATATTTAGAAAAGTCACAGAATATTATTAGATAAACTTATTGACTTTTATTTCTCTGTCAACAAAAGAAATTGAAAGAATCATTTGAGAATTCGTTCGATTTTGAACGTAATAACATTCAACGTCTTTCGAGGGTCATTTAATTTTTCTTTTATTTCCTTCTATCCATAGTATCTATCGTAAATGTTAGGAACGTACTAGAATTCTGTATTAGAAGTAGAACTATAGAAATATAACGTGACGATGTCTGTAGAATCATGCGATGCATTTGTTGCAACTGTCGTACTTGGTAACGTACCTCGTAAAAATATACATTTAGTATTCTATACTATATACGTATCTGTATCTGTCCAGTGTGTGTGTGTGTGTGTGTGTGTGTGTGTGTGTGTGTGTGTGCTTATGTAGATGTCTGTGTGTTAGTATAGTCATTTCCTAGTTCGCTTTATTTCTCAATGCAAGAGAGAGAGAGAGAGAGAGAGAGAGAGATCCAATAAAATCGAACGCTATTGTAATCGTGTACAACCTACTCGTTTCTGCTGTTCCACTTGTCCATTCGTTTTTCCATGTTCTAGTCACGAAATACTTTTGACAGTATAAAAACATTCGCATGGTAGAAGTAAAAGATAAAAAAAAAAGTTTAAAAAAAAAATACGGAATGTGTATAGGTATATGTGGATAGGAGTATGTGTGTGTGTTTGTGTAGGTACGTTTTCAATATACGTAAAATACAGATATATATATACACACTATAGTCGTTTTTTACGTTTCGAGACGATTGACTGCTCCGTATATATATATATATGTATGTACATTTGTATATATATGGTTGGTTTTATTCTTGTGAATGAGAAGAAAATATTTTGAAAAATGATTCAATCTAGATTGCACGAGTAACTTTTTTATCAGTCAATCGTAAGAGTGATTTCTGTTATATAAATATATATATATATATATATAAATGTGTGTGTGTGTGTGATTTATTTGATTTTTTTATAATCTTCAAACTATATTTGAAAAACTGTATATTGAAAAATATGAGTTAAAAAACAATATATTTCGAGTTTACGAGATACGAAATAAACAATTATACATAGAAAACTTCAAATTTTCTAAATCAAAAAGTAATCAAAAGGAAGATAGATGTTTTTTATATTATTACAAAATATAATGCTTTTAAAAAATGAAGATATTGATAAGTGCTATTTTGTATTTTTGTTTTACTCAATATCATTCAATAATAATAGACATAATTTCAAACTAAACGCTATTCAAAATAATTTATAATCTTGCAAATAACATAAAAAATAAAACAAATATAACAAATATTAATAATAAAATAAATAATATTAAAAAATAAAACAGTCATTAGATTAAAACTTAATTA